CCCCCCCCCCGGCCTGGCTGATTACACCCCTCTTTTACTCTGGTCGCATCCGCCACGCGCTCTTGCGGGCCGAGGCTGAGGCCGCCGTTTTGCTGCGCTCCGCCGGGGCTATGGCCTCCTCTGACGAGGCGCGGCACCTGGTGAGCTTTGCACCCCTTCTGCCCGGGCGGGTTCTGGAGGCCTTTGTCGTCCGGATCACAGAACTTTCTCAGTCCCGCCCCACTCTGCCGCGTCGGGCTGGCGGGATTGTGACCGCGCAGCTCCGGGCGCGGCGGCGAGTCCCCGGTGTGAGGGGCGCGCGGCTCGGACTTCGGAGAAGTTCTTTTGGCACCGCTTCCCGGTCTTTGCCAAAACAAGGAAAGTTGAATCAAGAAGGATGATTGTGGGTCCATCGCCTTTCTAACGGCGCTCAGTGTAGATCGGTCGATAGTAGTAATCTGGTAGAGTTGTGTACACTTCCCTGGCTCCGCCCTGGGCAGCTCAGCTTCCATCGCCTGTTATGTCCTGCTGTGCGGCGGTCCCAGTTTTTCTCGATTAGGATTTCACCACCCCTTACTCCCTACGTTGGCATCCTCATACGTTAAAAGAGCACACATGATTGTGCCACTGTTTTATACTTTCCAAATCACTGTGTATTTTTATCTAGCTTGGTAAAAAGTCACTGGTTCTCAAAGTGGTCTTAGCTATTTTCAAAGTAGTACCAAGCTGTGATTTGTTTTTGTCACTCGCCTCTTAGGACTGCATGGACTTTTTCAGAGGTGACATAGTGTGGAATGGCCTCTCTTTCTAAAGGCTAATGGGATGTCTTTGTGTATTCTTGTCTTTTAAAATATTTCTTCGTTTTATTTTCTAAAACTATAACTATCAGTGGTTGTAATGTTTATAAACAAAAGCTCTTGTGAGGCCCAAAAGTGTAGCTACTGGACTCAGCATTCTCCTAAATGAGAAATTTAGATTATAGAGACAGTTCAGAGTGCAGAGTGGTGATGTCTACAGTGACCGTTTGTTTAATAGAACTTGGACAAGGATTCTGTCCATGCAGCCCAGGTCTCATTCTACTCTGCCTTGAATTTAGAGCACTCTCAATTTTTCTGTCTGGAGTACTTTGTTCCAGTTCCTGTGATCCTGTGCATTTGTGGGTGAGGGAAATATTAAGGGGTATATGTGAGGAAGTGTGTTTTCCAGACTGATTCAAAGTAAGCTTCAATATCAAACTTAAGCAGAAAAATCATTTACTATTGCATTTCTTGTTAATATATTTCCAATTAAATCTTTGATTTTCAGATAACTGTACATTCACATGCAATTGTAAGAAATAATGTAGTGAGATTTCCTTATATTCTTTACACAGTTTTCCTCAGTACCTGACGAAATGTAATACAATGTGGTTTTTGACTTTTTTTCCAGTACTAGGAATTGAACCCATTGCTTCCTTCAAGTGCTCCATCATTGAGCCATATCCCCAGGCTTGATAAAGAACCTCTGTCATGTGTCAAATTTTTTGTTTTTTTTTTTTTATGGTACTGAAATTTGGACTCGAGCCTCACGTTAACTAGGCAGGTGGCTCTACCATTTGAGCCACTCTGCCAGCCTTCATGTTGTTGCATGTTGAGTTTTATAACGAACCACCAATGTTTCCTATTTGCTTTTCCTGCCAGCAGTGTGAGATCCAGTTTGTCCACATCCTGGTCAGCATTTGGTGTTGCCTCTATTTTTAGCCATTTTGATATGTGTATAGTGATATCTCATTGTGATTTTAAGCTACATTTCCTTACTGGCTTGTGATGTTGTACATCATCTTTTCATGTGCATATTTGCCATCTCTGGTGTAATGTCTCTTCACTTTTTTGACCCTTTCTAATTGGATTGTTTTGCTGTGAATGCAGAGTTTCCTAGATTCTAGTCCTTTTTCAGATAAGTGGCTTGCAAGTGTTTTCTCTGAATCTGTAGTGTTTTTTTTTCTCCTTAATAAGGTCTTTTGCAGAGCAAATGTTTTAAATTTTAATGAGTTTTTTTTTATAAGTTTCTTTTTTTAATGGATGTGTGTTTTTGTTGTTAGATTTTAAGAACTCTTTGTCTAGCCCTAGATCCTAAAGATCTTCTCTTATTTTTTTCCCTGTAAATGTTTAGTTTATATTTAATCCCATCACCCACTTTGAGTTAATTTTTCTATAAAATACTAGATTAAAGTTGAAGGCCAGTTTTTGGTTTCTGGATGTCCAATTACTCCAGCACTATTTGTTGAAAAGCTCTCATTATTTATGCTGGTCTATGTCTAGATTCTGTATTGACATGCAGTAATGATTCCAGTAGCTGTTTAATAGAGCAAACAGATTCCTGCTACTTTATTCCTCTTAACAAAATTTTTTTTTAGCTATTCTAGTCTTTGCCTTTTCTTTATAAATTTTAGAATTATCTTGTATATATCCACAAAGAATATTGAAGGAATTTTAATAGGAATTACACTAACTCTGTATCAGTTAGGTGAGAATTGGTATCTTTACTATGTTGAGTCTTCAACTTCATGTGCATATTTCTCTTCATTTCTTTATATTTTGTTTGACTTCTCTCATTAGCCTTATGCAGTTTTCAGCATAGAGTTCTACATACGTTTTGTTAGAGTTATATCTTTATGCTTAAGTATTTAATTTTTTGAGGTATTGTAGGTGATAATTGTTTATTATTTTCATCCACTTGTTTATTGGTGACACAAACAGAAACATAGATAAGCATTCTACCACTAGCCCTCAGCGCTTGTTTGTTGTTGGGATAGAGTCTCAAACTTTTGCCCTGGCCTGGCTTTGGATTTTGATCCTCCTATCTATGCCTCAAGTACAGGAGATTATAGGTATGCACCACCACACCCTGCTTATTTGTTGAAATATGGGAGTCTAGCTTTTTGCTCATGCTGGGCTCAAAGCTTGATCCTCCCTATATCCACTTCCTGAGTAACTGGGATTACAGAAGTGTACCACCACATTTAAACTCCTTTAAAGTAGTATCTCAATCTTTGTCATTCTAAACTAGCATCTGTCATTTCCTGTTTTAGCACAATGCTTCTGAACTCTTTCCTTTTCAGTTATCCTTTTATGAGAATAATTTTTGTATCTTAGAGGCTTCCCTTGTTTGTTTTACTTTCTTGAAGTTGCGATTCTTGAGCTGGCAGAGGGGCTTAAGTGGTAGAGTGCCTGCCTAGCAAGCATAAAGTCCTGTTCTGCCAAAAGAAAAAAAAAAAAAAAGTTGTGATTCTTGGCACTGGGATTGAACCCAGGGTCTCATGCATGCTGGGCAAAGTGCTCTACCACTTGAGCTGTGTCCTCAGCCCTTTTGTTTGTAGTTTGGTTTTGAGATAGGTTTTTGATAATTTTGCCTATATTGGCTTTGAACTCTCCTGCCTCCACTTCCCCAGAAGCTGGGATTGTGGATGTGCATTACCATGCATGGCTGAAGTTGTGACTCTTCCTTCATGTCTTGGAGTTAATTACCATCTCTATGCCTTTAAACATTCTCATCTCTCCATGTGGAGATTGTATAATCATTATAGTATAGTAAAAGACCAAGTTCTGCCTTGCCTCCTCTGGAGCTTTTCCAGAGAACCCCAACACTGCCATACTACTCCTTAGTCATGTGCTACCTTGCAGTACTCCCTAATTTATGTTTTGTATTGTTATTTAACTTTTTACATTGAATAAATTTTAATGCGTTCACCTCCCCACAGCTGAATGAAGAACAACCTATATTATCCTTTGTGTCCACCGTAGTCACAATCTTTTATCTTTGAGCATAGGTATTGATTATTTTTTATATGAAAAACGTGTTTACCTTAGATGATTTTATTCTTCCTTAATGTTAAATAAGTAACTTAGAAGTGCTCACAGGCAGTCAACATTTATGGGTCTAAGAAAGCTCTACTTTTCCCAGGCTGTATACTGATAGTGTCATACCTTTCAGATATTCTAAGACTGATATTCATCCTCACATAGTCTCAGTTCTGTTGGTATCCATTGACTGGTTTACATATTTTAATGTGTGGGAGAAGAGGAGATGGGCACTGTTAAATTTTTATGTTGTACTACAGGATAGATTTCCTTTTCTCCAAGAATATGTGTTGGGACCTGGTTCAGTGCATCACTTCTATAATCTCAGCTACTCAGGAGGTGGAAATAGGAGAATTGCAGTTCACGGCCAGCCTAGGCAAAAACAGTTAGCAGGATCCCATCTCATTCTACAAATTGGATGTGGCAGCATGTTCCTGTGATCCCAGCTATACCGCAGGTCCTAGATAGAAGGATTCTGGTCTGAGGATGGACCAGGCAAAAATGTGAGATTCTAGCTGAAAAAATAACTTAAAAGGCAAAAGAGGACTGGGAGTATGGCTTAAGTAGTTGAGCCCCAGCTAGTGAGGGCAAGGTCCTGAGCTCAAATTTCAATACTCACTCAAGAATATGAATTGGTCCTTCATTTTCAACCATATTAAGTCTAATTTTCTCTACTTAAGAAAACACCTTGTTCTTGATGCTTTTTCATTTAGAACTTCTTATACAATTTTTTATTTACTATATCTGGGAGAAAGTTTGATTTAGATGATCCTTTGCTTAAAAATTATTAAATATATTGTACGATTTGTGTCTACTACTGATTTAAGGTCATCTCTCATAGTCATAATACATAACAGTTCTTTTCTTGAAATTTTAGCTTTGGTAATTAGACTTAATTTGAAATGAACTATATTCTTGTTTCTCAAAAAGTATAGAAACTTTTTATTAAAGATTTAACTGCTGCA